TGAAGGAGATGATGAGAAAACTCTTGGAGATGCAATCAAAAACTTCACAAGTGGTTCCGATGACTAACTCTAACCAATATTTGACCACGGTTCTCTTGGCTGAATCAAAGGGAAAAGAGAACGGATGGGAGGAGTTCAATGAGGAGAGTTTTTTTCATCAAGGGCGGCCACCTCTTGGGGCTTCAATAAGGGCGGATCAAGGTTTTGGGATGAGGGGACTGCAAGGAGAGAATTTTTTGGTGGAGGTGGTAGGGTGGCCGGCCACTATAGGAGACATTTTGGGCAAGGGGAGCGGGCCGTCGGAGGAGGGGGTCACACACAAGCCTCTCTTCTTCCCCTTCTTCTTCCTTAAGGAGTCCACACCTACTCAAAAGGTGCCTTCCCCTTCTTGATGTAGATCAAGAAGCAAAATAAATGGCGCTCTAGCTGCACTAATATCAATCCCAGCAAGCAGCTTCTTCCTGGCTGTTATTTCCTTCATCTACATGGTGCAACCCATCAAGACTCCTTTCAACAGCTGCCTACACTCCTGCAGTCCAGCATTTCACCGGTTTCCTGCAGTCCGCCAGCCGAAAGAAGGCTGTTCCAGCCCTCTTTTTGCTTTTTTCTTCAGCAAACCAACCACAAGAAGGCTGTTCTCTTTTCTTCAGCAAACAGTCCTCTTCTTGCTGTTTTCTTTAGCAAAACAGCCGCAAGAAAGCTGTTTCAAGCCTCTTTTGCTGTTTTCTTCAGCAAATCAGCTGCAAGAAGCCTGTTCGAGCCTTCTTCTTGCTGTTTTTTTAGCAAACCAGCCTTCCAAAACCTTCCTCTTCAGTTTCTTCAAGCATTCCTGCTGCCACTCTCCTAAATTCAGCAGCAAGAATCCGCCTTCACTCAGCCATAAAGATTTACTGTTTACAAGAACAGCCAACCCTTCCTCCAATTGCTCTCCCACTACCTTCTGTTGGAAGAACCGGCCTCCAGCTACTTGCATACCTGCAGTTCTTCAAACAGCAGCTCAAGATTCTTCCTTCTACTGGACCAACCGAAACCTTGCAGCTTAGAAAAACTACAGCTGGCATGTCAGCCATCCCTCCGTCAACCTACAGAGCTAGGGCTGCAAATGAACCGAGCATTCGACGAGCTACTCATGGCTCGGTTCGATAAGAGCTTATTTATATTTGTTTGAGAAGTTAAACAAACAAGTTTGAACATCTTTGATAGATACTCGATATGTAAATAAACAAACTTGAACAACCTCGCGTTTGGCTCGTTTATGTTCACAAACAATATCGTTTAGAGCTCGTTAAGAAGCTCGATAAAGAAGCTCATTATGTCATATTTAATTAAAAAAAGTATTATATCTTATTTGACTAATAAGATAATTAAATCTCATGTTATTTAACAAATTATATATATATATATATAAATAATTGTTTGTTTAAAATATAGAAAGTTAAATAACTTATTTAACAAAATTTTTTGAAAAATAACCTCTCTCTCTCTCTCTCTCTCCATTCTCGCCCTCCCTCTCTATCTCTCTCCTCCGTGGCATCAACACTAAAAAAAACTGTGGGGGTTTAATCCCACACCGCCTAGTGAGAAGTTTTGTTGATATGTAAAAACAAATGGATGTAGAGACCATTTGCTTGATAGCTCACAACGGATGGATCATACTTGTCAATAGCGCAAAATAGCGCGCGCCATGGCGCATGGCGCGGCGTGGCACACCTACGGCGCCATGTTCATGGCGAGGCGCATGTGTTTAAAATAGCGCGCACTATTTGCGCCACATGTGAGCCATGGCGCACGGCACAAAATTGGGCGACAAATTGTTGCTTCCGCCGAATCGTCCCGCAGAGTAGTGCTTCTGCCAATACCGAGTGATTGGTACCACTCGGTATTGCTATATACATGCTCGGTACTGCTATGTACATGCTCGGTACCGCTAAGTACATGCTCGGTACTGCTATGTACATGCTCGGTACCACTCGGTATTGCTATGTACATGCTCGGTACCGCTAAGTACATGCTCGGTACTGCTATGTACATGCTCGGTACCGCTCGATATTGCTATATACATGCTTGGTACCACTTGGTACATGCTCGGTACTGCTAAGTACATGCTCGGTATTGCTATGTACATGCTCGGTACCGCTCGGTATCGCTATGTACATGCTCGATACTGCCCGGTATATGCTCGGTACCTCTAGGTACATGCTCGGTACCGCTATATACATGATTGTTTTCATTATTATGATAATTTGTATTTCATTTTTAATAATATTTCATATTCATGTTTGTTGTCCTCCACAGATTACCCAAAAGAAATCAAAACAAAAAAAATCCACATAATCCTGAAATATTGCCGAAAAGGAGGAAGAAATCCCGCTTACCTGCAGAACGGCGCCGTTCCAGTCGATTCTCCGCGAAATCGTGCTCAAAATCTGCGATCTCACCTCGATCGTCACCTCGTTCGCGTCATTAAATACCCAACCGAGCGAAGCTTTCGATTTCTCTTCCTTCCCGCACTCAAATCCCACTCTCTGCTTCCCGAATTCCTCCCGACTGCTC